AAACCACAACGTTTGTGGGTTGACACACAAGAGACTAAGTCATAGCAAGTCATAGACTTGGTATTTTGGATAGAAACAGGATAGACGCGACGCAGACTGGATCTAGTTGGCTAAGAGTAGGTCTGTTGTACCATAGACGTGGAGTGTGAAGGGTTCACATGAACGCCGCTCAAAAGGGCACACCACACTACATTAAAATGAGCACGATACAGAAAATTGTAACAGTGAAGGTGTGATAGGAGGATATAGGAAATGTGAATAGCCTAGGGCAGAAGGAGAGATACCACAACTGTTTAGCACACGATTTGTCAAAGGATCGGCTTCACTTGTATCTTCGAAGAGTTATTGTGTGATGCTAAGAATGGCGAGACTCACTGACGATGCCGACGAAAGTCTGGGAATGTACCACTTCCACGGTCCTACTCTGGAAATAATCATGCAGACAATGGACTCCGGAATAGGTGCGTTCCGCTAAGTCTTCCTACCAATATGGCCAAGTTGCGAAAACAAGGCCAAACAACCTCTATACATTTGCTTTTTTGACATTCTCACTTTAAGCGTAAATTGGAAGGGGTCTGCATTTCCTTGAAAGTCGTTTTCAGCCTGTGACCATCTGGAAGTCATGATTATGCGGCAGGTGACTGGATGTGAAATTTCTCCGGGAGGCAAGGCCAGATGAATTGGCATGACAACCTGAAATGTTAAGATCTTATTTGCGGAAAGTTTTTCTACAAGTTCTACACCGAATTATGCTTGCTGGATTGATATGCAAGGTATACTGAAAGACTCTAAACCTACTCTCAATGTAGCCAGTAGATCGGGCCAAATCGCCACCAGACCGTCTAGGTGAGATGCATCTCGTGAACTAAACCACTAGCCCTCCAAGGGGCTCCTTGTCGAGAGGAAAAGTTGACTTTAAGTACCAGATGAGCCGACTTCCAGTCAAGTGCTTCCACCTTTGTTGTCGCTTGAAGCGCCGACAATTCGAGGCTAGAGGCAGCCAGGTAGATCTTCATGTTGTTACATCATTCTTCTCCAACCTGATATTTAGACAAATCTCAGCTCCCATTCGAGTTCCTGTATGTCCTGTGATGTTTCCTTCCCCCCCTTCACTCCACCCATTGTACGGGGAAATACTACACTATGAGATGTATTCACCCTATTTCGTCTAAGGTGATGAAGGACTGGTAGAAGAAGAATTTTCCCACAAATG